TCCCAAAAATAAATAAATGTTGAAAAAAAAAAAAAATTAAAAAACACTCCCTTGCGATTTTAACGTGCAGCCCAGGTGAAGAACCACAGGTCTATCTTGTCTTGTGGATGTATATGTGAGAAACAGCAAAATGATACAAAAAGCCTTCCCTGCTTCCTTTGAAATTTATCACTTTTCCCTTCTTATCCAACTTAGTTTTACCCCCAGATTCTCACCTTCCTCCAGTCTCCTCCCAATCCAATAAACCATGATATGCTTGCCTAACTAATGAGTTTGGTTCTGAAACATTATCCCACTGAGAGTCATTTTAAGTGTAACAATACCAACAAACAGAACTGTTTTCATCAAACGGAGGATACTTTATGTATACATATGTGTATGTATGAGCATGTGTATGTGTGTATGTATCATCTCAAATGTGCTCTATTCTTCAGTTTCAGTGTACCCACCTTCATTTATACATAATGAATAGTAGTCCCCTAACATACAAAAATATTGCCCCTAAATAGTTCATGACTGAATTTTGTCAAAAATGAATGGAAATGAGTCACTCACAAATTTCTCATTTAAATCTGGAAGGGTTCCCACAAGGAACACGCATTCGACTGAAAAAAAAAAAAGTACAATGAGGTGGAATTATCTCAAACCCTCTGTCTTACAGTAGACACCAATAAAGTTTATGACAAATGAATGCTTGCCAACGACAAATACGGTTCTGCTTTGTGTTAAAAGCTCGCCTCAAGAAAACCAACTGAAGGCTTAAAAGCTAAAGATTATAAGCACACAAGATGATACTGATGCGTATGAAAAATATTATCAAGTACAATATGAGCAATATATAAAGAGAAGACGAAACAAGGAAATGACCTATCCCCTGCCTTTAAGTAGCTCCCCATCTTCTCAGGCACCACATGATACAAACATAAAAAGAAACTAAGGCCAGCACTAACAACTATGTGGTAAAGATAGTAAGTACCATAAAGACTCAAAAACAGGGAGACTGCTATGGACTCAGGGAGTCACAGACAGCTTCTTGGAAAAGCTGGGGCTTGAACAAAACTAAATAGGTGGAGTAAAGGAAGAAATCCCAAGCATGTGGGTGACCTTCAACAAACATGAGGCAGAAAATTCATTAAATACATTTGAGGAACGGGGAGTTGACTTGGTCGGAACAGAGGGTTCTATGTAGGAGTGTTTGGGGTAATAAGGTTGCAACAATAAACTGGAGCAGACAGTGAAAGCCCTGAACGCCAAGCCAGGATGCTCCAACTTTGTCCTACAGACAGATCCTTTACAGGCTATAAAGCACAATAAGCAAAACAGTGTAGCCTTATAATGATGCAGTCTGAAACCATTTTTCTCGAAGCCTTTGAAGAACATACCAAGTACTATAATATTTTGCCAATATATTCATAAATATGTGAACATATTGTTTATGAAATGTGTTCAGAGTGAAGGAGTAAATACTCAAACATGCTTTCCAAAATACAGAATCAGCGATCGATTATGCATTCATAGTTCTTAGGGTAATTCCTAAGAGAACACTGGGCGGAAGGCTTCAATTTTAGGTTTTCCTCCTCTCTGCACCCTCCTCCAAACACATATCTAAATTTAATATCCAGAAACTGAACACACTGAAATAGTGTTACTCCGAAAATAAGAGGCCTTTTATTACTTCTCATTATGGGCGAATTTACTTGCTGTACGGTTTCAAAATTACTACATCAATTCAAATAATTTTATCCACGATCTCTTTCAGCAAAGCAAATAAAAATAGCTAACAAATGTAAGGATTATGAAAAGCAAAAAACCCTTCATGAAACCAAAACACATTTAAAACAATCAGCGCTGATTAATAAGACAGAGGGGAAAGAGAGTATGTTCATAACAAAAAATGCCATCCACAACAAAGAGTAGCAGAGAGGGTACGAAGAACATTACAATAGCCAATTTCTCAACCAAAATGATAAGCCATTAGCCCACAACTCCCTGAAGAACAGAGTTCATTCTGCCTCTCAAAAATGCCCTTCAATGTTTTGGCTATTGCTGCTATAAAAATTAGGACTCTTAACATAACTCAAAAGAAGGATCCTTTCCCCTAGTAACCAGACACGTTAGTGATTGATGATTTCATTTGCCACTGCAGCAAATACTAATTTAACCACCACTACCTTCTCAACACCAGGAAAATGAAAAATCTCAGTCTTTACAGGCATACGTGACAAGAAGGCAAGAATATTCTCGGATGATTCACACACATACACACACAAAATAAGAACACAAGAAAACCGTGGCAGTGCTGCTGTCGCTGCACTACGAAAAGGAATATGCCATTCTTACAGGCACGTATGCCTTTAAAGAATATGTAGCAATTGTGATTTTATGTATTGTCTTTTTTTTTTTTTTTTT